ATCCATCCATCATCCATCCATCATCCATCCATCCATCCATCCATCCATGCATGCATGCATCCATCCATCCATCCATCCATCCATCCATCTATCCATCCAACAATCTATTCATCCATCCATCCATCCATCCATGCATGCATGCATCCACCATCCATCCATCATCCATCCATCATCCATCCATCCATCCATCCATCCATGCATGCATGCATCCATCCATCCATCCATCATCCATCCATCATCCATCCATCCATCCATCCATCCATCCATCCATCCATCCATCCATCCATCCAACAATCTATTCATCCATCCATCATCCATCCATCCATCTATCATCCATCCATCCATCCATCCATCCATCCATCATCCATCTGTCCATCATCAATCCATCCATCCATCATCCATCCATCCATCATCAATCCATCCATCCATCATCCATCCATCCATCATCCATCCATCCATCATCCATCCATCCATCCATCCATCATCCTTCATCTATCTAACAATCTATTCATCCATCCATCCATCCATCCATCCATCCATCCATCCATCCATCCATCCATCCATCCATCCATCATCTTTAGGAGTCATCTCCAGTCATCTCTTTCCAGCTTTTCTGACAGGACTTCAAGGTGTTCCTAGGCCATTTGGCTGAAAGACAAGTCTGTCCAACATGACCCGGGTCTTCCTTGGTGTCTCCTCCCATTTGGAAATGCTCCCATAGGGAGACATTCAGGGGCGACCCTTGCCAGATACTGTATCAGAAAGACCTCAACTGTCTCCTCTGGATGTGGAGGAACTCTGGAGTCTSTCCAGGATAACTGAACTTCTCATCATAGCTCCCAGTTATTTAAAATCAAAAGTTAGGGTTTGAACGCCACATTATTTATTTCCTCTGAGCAAGCTCATGTCCTCGCAGCGACTGATGTTTATCTGCCGCAGAAAGACCAGCAGGACCTCACTTTAAACACAGAAATCCAAATGTCCTTAAATGTCCTGAATCACCCGTGTGTCTGTTTCCATTTGCAGAAAGCTTTAGAAATGAAGAAAGAGGACTACGAACGTTTGCCAGCGTGGAAGCAAGTCAACGTAAAGAAGGCCAAAGGACTGTTTTAAGCAAGTTTTTAACTGAAGATGGCACGTGAAGAGAGAAGACAAGAGAGAGAAGAGATACAGGAAAATATTTCAGGAAAACCAAACATGAAGGATGAGATGTTTTGACTTTTCTCTGTCAGTATTAAACTAAATGRAATCCAAGTGGTTTATCAGCAAACAACTTGCTTTGGTACATATTTGCTCTTTATGTGTCTTCAACGAAAATCCCCTCCAAGCACTAAAGTYACCACTTGTGGAAGACAAAAGCTTAGACTTGCTGTCAGAGTGCCATGTTGTGGTGGTGTGTTCGACTGCGGCTGTATATAATGATGTTTATTTGTGTACATGTGTATGTATGTGTGTTTGTGACCTTGGAGCCATGTAAAGATGGATGCAGTCGGGCCTCACGTTGCTCAACTTTAAGCTGCAAACCGACTTGTTAAAAACCCAAGAGGCGAGTCGCAGCTTAAAGAGAGGAAGGCCGGCAGCTCAGTGAATCTGAACATACAGTGCCTTGCTTTTTGTGTACAGTTTCTATACAGAAATTCTAGTCTGCATTTTTAAAGACTTTCTWTGTGATAAGAGACATAGTAAATTAAATCACAATGATGCTCAACCAAAATAATGTCTTGTTTTGTGCCTATTATTATATGCTGCAATTTGGTCTCAAACACATGGATGGTAAATTTAACAGGATTTATATTTCCTTATGAAACTTAATCTTTCATAGGTTTYGTCATCAAATTCACACAAAAACCACAAAGTTTAATAGTTTTAGCCTTTATACGTGTCAGAACAATCATTTTTACTGTTTAAAAGCTCTAAACAACACATAAAATCCACAATTTTTTAAAGCGTGTTGGACCAGTTATGCACAAAAAGGAATATAAAAACTAGAAGTTGTTGGAAATAAAGATGAATATAACCCAAAGGCAGAAGATGCTGGAGACAGAACCACAAGTCTAAGAACAAATATTCCTAGTCTTATAATCATCTTCTTATGGAAAAGAACTAGCTTTTAAGGTACAAGAAGTCACTTTTCAAAGTAGAAAAAAAGAATACTGCTGGAAAAACTAATGCAGTAATAACAAAGTTTTAAAAGACTTTTTAAATTAAATGTGTGTTTTTTTTAACTTGTGAAAGTTAAATATTAACAGTTTACAAGTTATCAAAGGTTCACCTAGAATATGAATATTTGTTCACTCCAAAATCTGAACTCTGTTAAAACTCATTAGCAATGGCAGCACTGATCATTTTGTTTTGGCCTATCTATTATTAGCAAAATAAATAAATAAATAAATAACTGCTAGAACTCGCAAAAAAG